AAAGTCAGAATTCTGACTTTTTTCCCATACTATACTGAAAAAAAAAAAAAATCCAGTTAACTTTTTTATTTTTTTTTTTTTCAGTGGCCCTAATCCTCTTCCGTAGATATCAGATGCTGTTCCTCAAAACAGGAAATCTTTCTAAAGGAATTGGTAAAGATTAGAGATGCACCAGTTGGGTTTTTGCAGGCCAATATGAAGTTAAGGTTTTCTATGAGATCTAAAGACCATAATATACTGTACTTTACAAGAAGCAAGCGGTTTTCTCTAGTTCTGAAGGTGGCAAGAACAAGAAAAAAGTTTGTTTTGACTATTCTTAGTTCAAGAAACACTCAGCTGAAACATACTGCCCCAATAACACCTACTAATGAAGATGAAGAGCCAAAAGTAGAGGAGCAGACAGAAATAGGAGCTCAGGGTGTGCTCTGGCACTATTTGGAAAAACTATGAACACCGGGAGTGTGTGGTGCTGCAGGGGTGGGACTCTCCCTCTAAAATAAATAACTTGTAATAAATATTTCAAGTGAGCTGAGATGGCATGACTCTCAAATCACCACGGTTGAACTGTGAAACCTCAGTGGTAAGTTAGGATACTTGAGGCATTTCTGCTTTTTCAACCTAAACGCATCTATCCAAATCTATCTAAATCTTGTCCAGAGTACAACAGTGTGAGAAAAAATGTCTTCCAAAACGTGCCCAGAACCAGCAGACTACTTCAAGGCAGTATTGAGAGAACAATATAACTTAATAAGACGAGGGAGCAAGAAGAAAAGTATCAATGTTGTGCCAGTTAGTGCCTAGTTAAAAAAAACGAGCTCAAAGTTCAGTTCACATGGATGAAAATGAACTAGCTCACACTCATAGTTCACTTTTTCAAAAATTAACTAAGTTCACAAACCTATAAATGAATTGGTTGTTAGGTCCTGTTGCTCATTATTCTCTGAGTGGACGGCGTTCTTGTTCACGTTCATTAATTCAAAACTGATACATTCTGTTCGCCGTTTACTAAAAATACGAACGTAATTAGTGAACGTGTTCATACACAACATTGGTTCTCGTGCAGTATGTTGCAGGTTCTGATAGATAAATTGAGTTCAATAAACCAATTATGTAGTTAAGGTGATTTCTTAAAAGGTACATAGTCACATTTTTTAAATTTTTAAAAGGTACATAGCAGTAATTCATTGGAATGTCAAACAAAGTGTGAATGAAAGATTACCCGGTCCTGCTGGCTTATTATTTAATATTTTTGTGTTTTACTCTTTGTTTTTTCATAATCTTTTTAGTAAATAAATGATAATAAATGATCATTTATTTAGTAAATAAATGATAATTTTCATGCGCGCAGGGAATAAACAAGAAGTAGCCTACCTCGGCTAAGCCATTTAACACAAGCAAGGAAAGTATGGAAACACGAAGAAAAGTCCAAAAGCCATTGGGAAAAAATGTTAAAATAATATTACACTTCATACGGCAAGGCAACACAAGGCAAGGCAAATTTATTTGTATAGCACAATTCAGTACAAATACAATGCAAAGTGCTTTACATGATTAAAATATAAGAAAATAAAACAGAATCAAAGCAAGTAGGAAAGAAAAAAAAAATAAAGGGGATAAGGGATAAGACTAAAACAATTCTCAAATATAATATGAATGTTGCCGTTCATTGAAGCAGAAGCTAAAGCTGCCAAGGCATTCAGATGTGTCTGCTAAGTTCATGTATAGGTGAATAAATAAATGTCCCCTTTTATTACTGATACTAGTAGCAATGTTATTGTTCGTCTTTACAGTCTAAGTAAAAACAAAAAGATAGACAGACTGACTGACAGACAGAATTTTATTTCCCCTTGATGTTTTGAAAGATGACGTGGAGGATTCAGAGTTGATGTAGATCGATTTATTCAATTACTACTAGTTGTTCTTTAGCCATACCGAGCCGTCTCTTTACTAACACACATTATTGGACGGTTTGCTCTATTTAGTTGTTAACATGTGGCTCTCTGATAGTTCTGGGGTACTACCAGCAGATGGCGACAAGTCTGTTTCTGTCATCTCACCTGGAATTCTATTTAGGCTTAAAAACGCTGGATGGACGATTGTTGTATATTGGTTTAATTTTACTATGATTAAATAAATGATTTTTGATCTTTTTGGTAAAGGCTCAGGTATAACGTAATGAGGCACTTTTAACATTAACTATGATCATAATCATAAGGCTAATTAAACTCAACACTTGCTTGTATAACAAAAATTTGAACTTCATCTGTTTGATGCGAAATATTAGTCAGTTAACTGTCTGCTACTGTTAATTATTATTATTATTATTATTATACCTTTTTTAAACATTATATCTCATTAATGTTTTAATGTAGCGCATTAGCTTTCTCATTCAGGATTGTTAGTCTTTCCGTTTGTGTTTATTGGGAAATTATAATCTGAAAATGAGTGAACAATAATTAACGGTAAGTTAGATGTTAACTCAGACGGAATATATTCATCATTTTTAGGCAAATTACTACATTTTGAAAAGGCAGCCCATGTGTTAGAAAATGATCTGATAATTAAAGAATCATTAGTTTAATGAATGATACCTCATTAATGATGAGTGGTTCTGAATTAACTGTGAACCAGACAACGCAACATTAGCATCAACGTCTTTATGGTTAATAAATCATTTTTAGTGTTATGTCTCCCAGGCAACTCCTCATTCTGTATATTTGTGGACTTAAATGCTCACTATGCAACATTTTTCAGTTAATTAATGTGTTCCATAACGTTTTGGATGATTAAATGAGTCATTTCAGGTTGAACAAAGGTATTCTCGGCCGCCCTGGTGGTCTGTGGGGGAAATACCGCACTTGCAATTGCAGGAGCCCTCGGCCCGCACCCACAGGCTCAGAAGTCTCGCGAGAGTCGGTCTTGCTTTACGGCGAGAACTGCTACACGCCCCCAGTTAAAAGCATGCTCGTTGCTAGCACAGTGGCGATCTTTGTGCAGTTATCATGGTGGAACCAGCGTGAAAACAGCGAAAGCCCATGTCGGAGCAGGCAAGAAAGAGGAAAAGGGCTCCGGACAGAGAGAGGAGTCGTACACGGGTGAACATCGGGCAAGCTTTTTCCGAATGGCGAGAGCTAAAATAAAAAGAAGGCTGCAAGGCTGAGCGGACCTCGCGTTTCTGCTGATGCGATTGTAAGTAACATTGGAATGGTTTCTCTCTCTCTGTGTGCATGTTCATACTTTCACTGTGTTAGTCATTCGTTGCGTTCGCCTGTCTGCTAAGCTCAAAACAACCGCGCCTGGCTTGACGGAGAAACCAGGAGAACAGCTGTGCATATTTACGACAGTGCACTTTTACTTTCGCCCTCTGGGGGGAGCCTCGCTGGAAAATCAACACCGGTTGCATAGTATACCTTTAAATGTTATTGATAAAATACAATTTTACTCTAAAGGTCGTGTCATATTATCAATACATGCATCCATCCTAATCCTGGCAGTTTAAGACAGTTTACCACTGAGTTAGGCCTTCCAAATAGTCCCTACAATGTTTCCATAACTTGTGAAGAAAATACATTATACCAGTGTCATGATCTGCCCTGAGGGCTCACCTTAAATGTTCATTTCACTCACTGACTTACCTAACTCTGTCCGGTTTCCTAATCATCACTCATATCATCCACCTGCATCTATTCCTTTATATTCCGTTCAGCCCAATCTATTGGGGCAAGATCATTGTTTGCTGTTTGT